CACCTAGTACCAATTGTTCCGCCACCACCACCCACCATGTGGTGGTGGGTGTGTTTGGGTTATGGTGTGTAGAAGAGCATTTGAGAAAGTGATAGTATAGGTTTTGTCAGCCAGAAAACCGAGGAACAACCCACCACCACCGTGAGGGGTGGCTACCACCATGTGTGTGTTTATGCTAGTTAGTATGCGTGTTTATTTTTGGATTTTGCGTTGTAAACTGTAATCATATTTGAATAATGAAAAGGAAAACCCTAACCATCACCTTGAGGTGGTGGCTGCCGCCCCCTACTACCACCAGCCGCCGTGTCGGGTGGTGGTGTGAGTGAGTTTGTCGCTCCAAGGGTTTAGGCTACTACAGGGTAACGGGGTTGGTCATGTCAGCAAATGGTGATCAAGATTCCTCCAGATATTGTGGGTATGTCCTCTTCTACTGCTATTAGATGGATGTTGGGAATACGTATCGCTTTGGAATTTTGAGTAAGTTTGGATAAGTCAGATCTCGGGTCGGTTTCCTGCTACTGTATGGGTTATCAAGGATCATATACGCCATTTTGCATGCCGAAAAGTCCTTGGTTAACTCATAGAGGGACGCATCTTGTAGAGTGGGTTCCGCGTGTACTGTTATCATTCCAGATCTTTGTCGGCATTTGTGCAGGAGTATTATGTAGTGGATACTTGGCCAGAGTTAAAGCGATAGTTCTCCAGTGAAGTCAGATATCAGTGGTTCTATCATTATTCGGGAATGGTCGACAGTTGTCTGTGGAAGAACCATGGAGTTCAAGGCGCTATTTTTGCGAGGACAGGACTGGTATCATGAAGATGGTGATGTAAGTTGCGAGTGTCAGATGCATAAGTAGTTGGTCCTCGGATATTCAAGATAATTGAATTTCTTGAATGGGTTGTGTTTGGTTAAAGTTCAGTGATATTGCAGGAATGAAAGTAGGAACGAGGATTCATCAACCGGAGTGAAGATTAAGGCCTTAAGTTGACAGCAAGGGAGATGGTCTGAGGTGTCAGACTGTACCAGGAAGGTCTAGGTAGATTTTGGAAAGCAGCCATGTCACGACATGTTGTCTTGAGCACTATTAGTGTTTCAGGTTTGCAGGTGCGGATGAAGAAACTTATGGGTTGGTAAGTGATAAGACACTCACAGTGGAATTAGCTTAGCCATGGCTAAGTATAAGTGATCTGCAGGGATAATTTGGTCTGTAATCTTGTTTTATAGTGGGAACCTCGAGCTGTTAGAAGTTGAGTAGTCAGTTGAGGGATAAACGGACTAGATTCAGCAATAATGATTCAGTATCGGCGGTCTGTCAGGTAGTCAGACCATCATGAGACTATTGATTTCAGACTAAATGATGTGACCATAATGTAAGGAATTTGTTTATCTTTGGGTTTTAAGAGCCCCGCGAGGGATGGTTTTAGTTGCCCTGGAAAGGCTAGGTTATGCTCGGGCTTGTCGCTATGTCGTTCAAGTCATCTGGCGTGTAAGGAATGGTAAGGAATAATTTCGAGGACGAAATCTAATTTAAGTGGAGAGAGTTGTAACACCCCATTTATTCAATAAATAAATAGACAAATTAATAAATGAATAGTAGTCTTAAAATCAATAATTATATATCAAGGTGTTGGTCACGGAGAACCAATATTTTAGAGATTGGAGGTGAAAAGTGTAAAATCTAGACTTAATTTGTAAGTATTATTGAAGGCAGGGACTAAATGGTAATTTCTAGGACTTCATTTGAGGAGATTTTGGAGGCTAAGGGGTTGTTTGGTAAATTATGGATCAAATTTGTAAGGGATTTCAGAAGGTGGGTTTTAAAATGTAAAATATGGACTGAGTTTGAAGAGATATTGGGAAGGAAGGACCAAAGGTGTACATTGGATGAAATTTTTATATGATTAGGTATTAAATGCATCACTTTGCTTCACCATGCTAACCCTAACCCTAGAGCAAACCACCAGCCACCACCTTTACTACTCCCCTTTTCCAACGACCACCACCACATCACTTGCCTCTTCGTCATCGGAATTCCATCGCTACTGCTGGATGATGCGCGTAACCGATGAAGAACCACCGAGAATGGTCAAATGAAGTAGTACCGACTGGAAATCAGAGATGTTGTGGCCGCCATCCCTCTTCGGTCCAACGTCTCTTTGTCTAGTGTTGCGTCTCAGCCCCGTTGGCGTTACCACTGCTCGTCTACGTCGAAGACAAGGGTGCTGTCGGGCTCTAGGCTTCAGTTTCTTTTGTTAATTGCCAACAGCCATCACTATGGCCCCTAGTGCTGCCACTGCCATCACTGTGCATCACTAGGTGGGTGGCTACGTTTGTTTTGGCGTAAAAGTCGAGTATTACAATTGCATATCGTGATTTGAATGTTTCTATCGGCCAGAACCACCATGGCGTCCAACCATGGTGGCTGCCACCTAGTACCAATTGTTCCGCCACCACCAGCCACCATGTGGTGGTGGCTGTGTATTTCTTATGTTGTGTAGAAGGGCATTTGAGAGAGTAATAGTGTATGTTTTGTCAGCTGGAAAACCAAGGAACAACCCCACCACCACCGTGAGGGGTGGCTCCCACCATCTGCCACCGTGTGTGTGTGTTTTTGTTAGTTAATGTGTGTGTGTGTGTGTTTATTTTTGTATTTTGCATTGCAAACTGTAATCATGTCGTAATAATGAAAAGGAAAACCCTAACCACCACTTTGAGGTGGTGGCTGCCGCCACCGGCCACCGTGTCGGGTGGCGGTGTGCCTCGTTGTATTGTGACTCGTTTGGTATGCTTGGACAGAATAGGTCCGATGAAACCCTAGTGGACCCAATGAAACCCTAATGGGTCTAGTGAAACCCTAATGGGCCTAATGAACCTTAATTGATCAAAAGACATGGCTATCGGGTCTATTGGGCTAAGATGGGGTTGGAAACCCTAACTAGGGTTTAGAAAACCCTAATTGTGTATATATGGGCCTTGGATATATCAGGACCCACATTTGTGACATTGGATATGGACTATGTATTAAGCCCCATCACACCATATGATTTATCTAGTAAAGTGGTGAATTTAATGGATTAAATCCTTAATGGGTTAAGTGAGAAACACTTAACCCTAATTATCATTTTATATGAAACCCTAATTTCACATGGGCTTTGAGTTGGGCCTTTCTATTAGGATTTGGTGATTGGCCCAATAGTGGGTCATCCAAAAACAATCAATGGACTAGAATAATTAGATGGGCTTTAGGGTATGGCCCATATGAAGGTTTGGGCCCAATTTGGAAAATTAGGCCATATATGGGCCATAGTTTGGGCCTTAATGATTATATAATATTGGGCCATTAGAATGTCAAATGTTGGACTAGAATAAATGGTTCGGCCTTAGAATAAGACCATGTAAAGTTTTAGGCCAAGTTTGGAAAATTAGGCCACATGTTGGGCTTTGATACCTAGTTTGACTTTTGGGCCTTTGGATTGGGCCTTGGGCTTTGATCAAGCTAAGATTGGGGTAAATCAGTCTTTTACCCCAAGCATGGACTTATGGTTATGTATTGGGACCCAATTATTAATTGGGTGTTATTTTGATGTTGACAAATTCGGGAATCTGTCAGCCAGCAGCCACAACGTTATTTGCGGGACTTCAACAAGTCTCCTCACTGTTTGTATGGGTTTAAGGCACCAATGTCAACCCATTTAGTTTATGTACGATCGGAAGACCCCGGGGGGTTAACCCTAGGAATTATGCATGAAAGACCAGGAGGTGGCTCCTGGAACACAATATGTTATTATGTATGGTAGGAAGACCTGGGGGTTAGCCCTAGGCAATATGTATGAAAGACCAGGAGGTGGCTCCTGGTGTACTATATGCTATTATATATGAAATACTAGGAGGTTAATCTTGGCACACTAGCTGTTGATTAGCTATGTAGAGTAGTATGTATGTTAGATGAGTTTGTGATGCTGGTATGGAAGACCAGGAGGTGGCTCTTGGCAATTGTCTGTGAGACCGAGGGGGTGGCCCCTGGCTTGGCAAGAAAGACCACATGGCAGCCCGTGGCATAATGGCAAGACTATGTTCGATACATAGCATCTTTACTGATTATGATATATGTATGGCCCATGGTTATGTATGACATTATTCGAGTATGTGTTTATATGATAGACAATATTCGGTTGAAAGAGACCGAAGGGGTAGGCCAACACCTAGATATGCTAGGTAGTTTTTTGATATGTATGGTATGTGGTGTTTGGGGAAGTCACTAAGATTCGTGCTTATGGTTTTCAGTTTTGGTTTTAGGTACTTCATTTTTAAAGGAAAGGATTCGGCTCGATCGTAGCGCATCACGCTATGTTTTCCGCTCATAAGATCTTTGGGATTACACTCTGATATGATTTTATGATACTATGTTTAGATTATTGACACTTTGGTTTTGACACGAGGTATTATTATGAATGTTTTTATACTTTTGGTTTTATGTAATAACTTAATTAAAATGAAATTTTTGGTCTTGAATTTTGGGATGTTACATAGAGAGAGAGAGAGAGAGAGAGAGAGAGAGAGAGAGAGAGAAAGTTAGAGAGAGTTAGAGAAAGATAGCGAGAGAATGAATTTGATTGGAGGTGATCATCTGTGGTTTGGACAACAATTCATCACGACCGCTATCCACCACTAAACACTGAGATGGTGTTTATGGTTAGTGGTCGTTTCCACATCAACCACTAAACCCTTTGTGAAGGGTACACGTGATGGTCTTAGTGGCAAAACAATTTCGAAAAAGAATGATGATATTTTTCATATTTCTGCGGGGGATTTTGTTGTAGAGAGAAGAAAACGAGCTTGGCTCATTAAGGGTAGGGATTTTCTAACTTTGCCTAACCTTTGAATGCTTTGTTTTGATGAGGGCTTTGAGGATTTTGATATCTGATATGTTGGAGGCCTATTGGTTATGCTTGATTTAAAACACAAAGAAGCATGTAAAAAATTTCTAGCAGGTGATGCCATGAATAATTGGATTGTAGAGAAGCGACCTTGGGATAGGAAATTTTTTCCTCTGGATCATTTGATATTGGTGGATGTTGAAGGCTTGCCTCTATGTGCATGGAGTAAAGAAGCTTTCAGAAAGATATTTGTTAAATGGGGAAGTATAGTCCATCTTGAAGATGAATTGGGTGAGGATGTATACAAAAACCAGATTTGTATTTTATCCACTTTCCAAGAAATTATATCGGAAGTATTCAAAATTAGTATTGATGGACAAGTATTTTTGGTTAGAATAAAGGAAGCCTTCGGGTGGACTCCATCTTTTGCTTGGGACAACAATAAGTTCGGTAGTGAAAGAATAAGTGATCATGGCAATTTCCAAGAAGACTAAGACTTTAATTCACGTTGTGAAAAGGAAGAAGGTTCCTATCATCCGTTTGGGATTTATGAAACAATAGAAAAAATCAAAGAAGATGGTACAAATGGTAAAGGAAATAATTTGGATGTAAATGAAGAAGATACCCACGTTAATGTTAGCAAGAATACCAACTTTCTTGAGGGGGGAATTTTGGGATTTTTTTTGCAAAAAGGATGTTCATAATTTTTCCACTCCAATCTTTGTTTTAGATCAGACCGTGAATGATATTTCCCCATAAGAGCCTGTTGATCAGCTGTTGAAACCTTCTCAACCACCAAAAAGTGTCCGATGGTCACTATTCCGGTGACAATCACTATTCCGGCAATAAGTACAATTCCGACAGTAGGTCCATTTCCTTCTGCTACATCGGTCACAACATTGCCTCCATTTAATTCAGATTAGAATAATAATGCTGAAATAAATAAAGATCCAATTGGTTTTTCTGGTGGATTTGATCGGGTGTCAGAAATTGCGGTTTCTAAGGATAATTTGACTCATCTCCCAGGACTTCCTAATTGGGATAATTTTGATGGGTGTTCGAATAAATCATAAAATAATGGGTCTTTTTTTAGTGAGATTCAAAAGACCTTGGATATCGGCAAGGCCATGGGATATAACATAGATAGGTGTTATGAATAGATTAAAGAAATTGTTTAAGGAAAAGGAGATCAGATAAATTGGTGTTGAGATGAATTGTCTCTCCATCAATATTCAAGGATTGGATTATAAAAGTAAACATAGTTGGGTTCGAACTTTATGTCATAAACATAAAGTTAATTTGTTGGCTATTGAAGAAACAGAGATGGAGGTTATCGACGTTCGTATGGCTCAGTCTTTCTGGGGTTACAATTCTTTTTCTTATACGATTTTTCATTATAGTTGACCTTTGGGTGGCATTCTTCATATTTGGGACCTGAATTGTATTTCCTTCAAAACATCTCATATTTTTGATTATTTTATTACTATTGAGGCAGTATGCTCTTCTTCGGGGTTGCTGGTCATGTTTATTGCATTTTACGCTCCACAATGGACTGATTGTAAGACGCAATTATGGTGTGCTATTCTCCAACTTATTAGTTCTTTCCACAGTGATTATGTTTTGCTTGGGGATTTTAATTAGGTTCATGATGAATCGGAGTGATTGGGGTCTCTTTTTAACCCCGATACAGCTAGGTGTTTCAATCAATTCATCGAGCAAGCGGGTTTGATTGATATTTCCCTTAGTGGTCCTCTGTATACATGGAGTGATAAGTGGGGTTCTAAATTTAGTAAGCTGGGTCGGTTTTTAATTTCTGGTGGTTTTCTAGATTCTTTCCCTCATTTTTTTAGGGATGATCTTGGAGAAGCATGTTCCAGGTCATAGGCCTATACTTTTATCGAATCATAGAGTTGATTAGTTGGAGGGGTTTGATGATGTGGTCAGAAATTCTTGGTCTCAAGATCAGAATTTTTTGGGTGTTTCTCATCCTTGGGTTAAATTTAAGAAAAAACTTCAGTTTCTTAAATCCAACATTCGTATTTAGAACACCACCACTCGGGTTAGGATGGGTACTAAATGCACGGAGCTCCAAAAAGTCTTAGAATCCATTGATGCAAGCCTTCTGACAGATGGGGGGGAATTCAAATTTATGGGAGCAACGAGTAACAATTCTAAAAAAATATCACGGATTTAGATCATGTTACAAACCTATAGCTAGCCCAAAAGGCTAAAATTCAGTGGGGGTATCGAGGGTGATGAAAATTCGAGGATTTTTTCATGGGATTATAAAATATAAGAGAAGACAAATGGCGATTCGAGGCGTTTTGAAGGATGGGATTTGGATTGATGACCCAAGCAGCACAAAGAAGGATTTCCGTGTTCATTTCCAGTCTCTTTTTTCTAAACAGACTGGTCCTCATCCTCAGATTGATTATTCCCATTTTTCACACCTTTCTTCTTCTCAGATTCAGTTTCTCCATTCTCTTTTTACTCGCATGTAAACTAAAAAGGCATTGTGGCACTCTGGGTCGTTTAAAGCTCCTGGGTCGGATGGCTTTATGGTTGGCTTTATCAAACAGTATTGGTATATTCTTGAGGAGGATATTTTTGACTTGGTGTCCCACTCTTTTATTCCTAAGGTGTGTAATACCTCCTTTTTCACTATCATTCCATAAGTCAGAGATCCGAAGAATGTTAGAGATATTAGACCTATTTTTCTGATTGGTTGCCAATACAAGATTATTTGCAAATTTCTTGCTAATAGGTTGGCAGTGGTTATTTGTTGTTTGGTTAGTGTGGAGCAATATGTTTTTATAAAAGGTAAGAAAATTTTAGATGGTCATTTTCTCCTTAATGAGGTTGTTGCTTGGAGTAAGGCTTCTAAAAATCCTCATTTGATTTTTAAAGTGGATTCTGAGAAAACTTATGATTCTTTATCTTGGGATTACTTGCTTGTGACATCCCTAATTTTGCGGCCAGAAAAGACTGATTTGTTTATGCTTTGTTTTGAAATCAGAGTAATCCTTTTTAAGGAAAACAGTTGCGGAAATTGTCCCAAAAACAAAATATGATAACCATTTATCAAAACATTTCTCAAAGAGAATGTATTTTCATTAAATAATAAAACCTCGGCTTGTCATGTTCCGATACAGACCAAAAGCATAAACAATATAAAATAGACCTGACAACAGTTATTTATAACTACTGATCTATAATCCAAATTCTCTCATTAAGTCCACCAACCTATACCCTTGTGCCATTACCTGTATTGCAAAGAAAACTTAGTGGGTCAGGCTTGGGAGCCTGGTGAGCGTATAGGGTTTTCAACCCACAATAATATAATTATTATATTTAATCATCAAACAATCAACCCAATTACCCATCCCCATTATCTTTGTTTAATCTTCCCTAGAGATATTATCCTAAGGGTTACCTCCTATATCAGGTTTACCTCCTATCTCCTTACATCTTATTTCCTTATATGTTTTTTCCTAAGGATCATCACCTACATTGCATAGACAATACTAATTCGGGGATGACTCCCTCAATATGTGTCTAGTAAGGGTTAGGGTGTCATCACATGATTTCGCAGCCACAACATCACCTGGACTCGTAAATCATAATAAGGGTCAGACTATCATCACATGAATACGCAGCCACAACATCGCCTGGACACGTAATTCATAATAAGGATTAGAATATCATCGCATGAATACACAGCCACAACATCGCCTGGACTCGGAATTCATAATAAGGGTTAGAATATCATCGCATGAATATGCAGCCACAACATCGCATCGACTCGTAATTCATCACCTATCTATCATCACCTAATTATCATCACCATTATATCCTCACCTATCTCTTATCACATTATTTCAACACACATGAACTATTTCATCTACCCATGCTCTACCCAACATATTTGTAGATATAAATTACATATACAATTTTAATCATTCAACACCTGTATAAAAACATCAATTCCAAGCCCATCTCAAATAGACAGATAATATATAACACATAGCATGTAATTGATGGCTAATACTTTATATTTATGTGTTAGAAGAAAGTAACCACACACTCACCCAAAACATATACTTAATACATTCAAACAATACTTGTATTAACATCGTGTTTATAAAAGGGACTATACACTCACTTGATCAGAAGATGATTGGACAGCACTATGGCTCTAAGAGTAGTATTCTTCGGTGAGTCCGGGATCACTTCACACATCGGGTTTCTCGCGGACAGAGCTTCGGCTCGGAAACTCTTTTCTTCTCGGGATCTTCGGGCTTCGGGACTTGCTTCGGGTCTTGGGGTTGATACCAGGGCTTCGGGGGTATTTCTTTACACGTAAATCGATGCAATACAGGTGAGACATGAGAGAATGAGCAACCAAACTCGGCTGGCCCTTGATTTCTATTTATAGGGAAAATTTCTAATTTTCCACATCGTGGGCTTCATCGTTACTGCATGCGTTATCACAAGTTACGTCTGGGGGACTTTAGGAGGTGTCAGAAGAATTGCCACGTCGTGGTATCGGACAGTTTTGGGGTTTCGCGCCCCAAGCTTCAGAAATTTATAACTTTTGCATACAAAATCCGTTTTCGACGTTATTTATATCGACGCGTAGGTAAAAACACTATCTACAGCTTCCATTTAGACTCCGTTGGCTAGTTTTGATTTATTTTTATTATATTATTTTTATATTATTTTTAGTAGGCCGGGACAGGAAAAATTTCGTTATAAACTCATAACTCCTTCGTCTGACGTCCATTTTCGTCTGTCTTTCTGTCGTTGCACTATTATCGATGAGATCTTCAATTCTTTAGATTGTTTTGGCTACATATCACTCTCACGTAAATTCACTATTTACATCGCATTGTGTCGTGTTGGTTCTTTTGCGAAACTTCGATAGGTCATAACTTCTTCGTTATAACTCTGATTTCGGTGTTCTTTATATGTACGGAATCCTTGTAACATATACTAAAACTTAGTTAAGATTAATACTTCTAAATAATCTTCCATCAAAAAGTCATTTTTGATGCTTATCGTCTCTAAATTGACTAGCCCGGATCTACGAGCGTTACATTGCTGGAGATTATGCAAATAATGGGGTTTGGCTCTTTATGGTGTAATTGGATTATGGAGATGCTTTCTTCAGCCACTGTCATGGTCCTTGTAAATGGATCCCCTTCTCCAGAATTCCATATGTTTAGAGGTCTGAAACAGGGTGATCCCTTGTCTCCTTTTCTTTTTGTGTTGGCCATGGAGGGTTTGCATGTGGCCTTGACTCAAGCCCAATTGGCCAATATATACAGGGAATTATGATTGGGGGAATTGCTATTTTCCATCTTCTTTATGTTGACGATGTTGTCCTGATGGCAGAGTGGCATCATGAGAATCCTCTTCATATTGTTCGGATTCTTCGCTGTTTCTTTTTGGCTTCGGGTTTGAAAATCAACCTACTTAAAAATAAGTTGTATGG